TGCTGTTTTGTAATTCAGTAACCCTCTTTCCCTCCACACAACTGGCATCTTCTTTGTTATGTACCCAAGAGGTATGCAAGCCAAAATGGAGTGCACTCAGATGAAAAAAAGGTATTCCCAATCAAACATGCAGATTAAACATTACTTATGCAGTATAAACAAAACACTGAGTATTACAAAAGTTTTGGTTTAAGAAATATGCCTATGATACATGCAGGTTTAAAATACACATAGCAATTTTTATAGGGGTTTGCTATCCTTCCGTCACCTACAATACAGGGGCCTTGTTAAAAAGTAATTTTTGGTAGCTCCTGGAGCTCTTAGCATCTGGCCTTCCTGTTTTCCTACCCAACCTGATTCCATATAGTCCAAAGAAAGAGTAAGCAGTTTCATAGCCCCACTAATAGTCCAGGTGGTCCATCTCAGATTAAGAGAAGATTTACTCTCTACTTCAGTGATTTTCATTTTTTTTTTTTTGGCTTTTACCTGCAAATCAGGCCTTGTAGAGACCTGATGAGTCTATACATACTCATTTCTTAAGAAAAGTGTTGACCCCTATGTCCATAAGCAGCAGTACCATCATTCACTGTATGTTGACCAATCAGAAGCTCCATCACCATATTCAAATTCAGGCACTTTACTCCTTGGCAAAGTGCCATGTACCCACGTTTGAAAACCACTATTCTATTAATTAACACTTTCTAGTCTAGCCTTTTTGAGTTTGTCACCAGTTTTTCACTGAGAATAAGAAAAAACAATGCCATTTTGGGGTTGAAAGAAGAAACGGCAAGCAGAAGAACTGTATATTTTAGGCCTAATGAGAGCAGATTCACATGGGGGCAGGGCTCCAAGAAGCAGCAATGAGAGCAATCAATTCTTAGCAAAGAGAAGCATAAATCCTTGCCTACTCTCACTTCAGACTATGGTAGTGAATCCTCTCAATGTTCAGCATCAAGACTATACTGTATACCACTACAGTTAACACAACTTTTTCTGAGGTTCTAATGTGTGTCAGAACAGGTATTATATATCATTTGCTTTTGTTTCTGGACTTGACTAAAGTACCTCTTTTCTGTCATGTTTTCTTTTTAAATTATTCTCCAAGGCCAGAGTCATCTTGCAGACTGCAGATTCTGCTCATATCTCTAAAACAGCATGTGCAGTGACCACCCTTAAAGGCCTCCCAATTTCCTTAGATAACTAGTTTATGCTAGCTCAATATCTGTTAGTCTTTGTACTTATTATAAGGGACACCTAAGGAGTAATGCAAATACTGAGATAACATTATCCAGTTAACTAAAGGCAACTGAAGAGTTTAAGGGCAGACACTCCACATGCAAGCCACTTTTTCCATCTGCTAACAGACATCACTGTCAAATGAACTGACACATCCACTGGTGGGTAAATTTAAAAGTTTTTTACCCGTAGAACCACCATTGTTCTTGGGAGTGTTAATAAAAAGTCTCTGCATCCCCTTGTCTCCTGATATACATCCTTTCCCACTTTGTTTTCACTTTCCATTGTGTAACAGAGACAAAAAACACCATATCATCTTTACAGCATCCACCTTGAAAGGCACATATTTTGAATGTTATAAAGAAGTATTGTCATAATGAGGTTAATGACAATAGGGTTTCCAATATCAAAGAGCCAACATGCAGCTGCTTGATAGTATGGAGAGATACAGCACAGAGCTTCACAGAGTAAGGAGTTTTTAGGTTATGCATTTTAATGAGTTTTGTATTAAACAAACCATACCATGGAAGCTGTAATTTGCATTTCACTGTGCTATTTAGATAGAATGTATTGTTAACACTTAGTGCATTGAAACAGAAAAATTAATCTGACTTATACATTTAGAATAGAAAATATGCAAGCAGCTGTGTAGAGAGTTCTATGGTTTGAAAACTGAAAGGTATGTTATTCAAACCTTTGGCAGAACAAATACAGGAGTACAACACTCATGTTTCTTTTGACCTGTAAAAGAAACAGCAATAACTGTTGCTTGTCTGTGTGGGGCACACGCCTCATTAGATGTCTCTATTGCTTTCTAAATACCACCTACAATCATTTTTTCCCTTGCAGCTGTGAGGCAACACCAATGTTCCCTTTGAAGCACTATTTTGAATAATGAGCATAAAGGCAAACTGATTTTGTGATAGCTGCATATCAACATACCTTATCTCTGAGGATCTGTCCTCTGCCCAGACCCCAGCAATCATCCCAAGGTCTCTCAATCCTGCTGTCTCATACCAATTGTTTTATTTTTTTCATCAGTCAGAAGGATTCAAGTCTAGAAGTTACAAGAAAAAAGGCATAAATATTAGACAGGAAGCATATATATTACAATGTATACTGTGCTCCATGGAACACTGTATTATGCTTATTACAGTTCATTTGATAAATAGATGTACCTTAAGAGCAATTTATTCATATATTAATATGCCTTTTGGGAGACATAATCAGCTCCATTAAAAGACATTATTATGGTAAATCCCTGCAAAAACATCTTGCAGAACAAGGCAACAAGATCAATTAAAAATCCAGCATATGTGAATAATATTGATAAAAAATAAAAGTTTTACAAATCTTACTGCTAGGTTCTTTGAGGTCATGCACACAAATAGCAGTATTGTTCCTCTGTATTTCAGCTCAGACTGTAAGTAGTGGGGGCAGAATATGCATTTCATTAAAATATTTCCATCAGAGAATGATTTGGGGATTTCAGCTTCAAACAGAAAGAAGTATCAGCCAAGTGTCTATTTTAATTCTTCAACCTGGACAGTTTGTTACTATCTTAGGTTATGATATATGATACACACTGCACTCAAATTATACTAAACAATATCAAGGGAAACAACTACTATAAACTAGGGCTCTGCAAAGCTTTGTGTGCTGATTCAATTAGGAAGATATTTGGCCTAATTCAGCTGCCAAATCTCCAAATCCAAATCAGGAGACCAATTAAAAGGTCTGAATTGATTCAAAGCTCTCCGAATTGATTCGGTAAAGATTTGGAGAGCTTTGGTGATTTGGGCAGTCCCCACTGGCTGCCTCAGGGAGCTGGACCCAGACTCCATGCTGGTAAGTGGGAGGCTGGGGAGGGAGGGAGGGCTAGAGGAGAGGGGAGGGCAGGG